TTTTTTTATTTAATGACGGGCTAATTCTTCTCTTATAATTAAATTCAATATCATAAAATTGAACAAACACTAAAAAAAGCTGGAAGCTCTTGAAATTTCCAAATAAACAGTACATAATCCCCTACCACCATTAATTAATAAAGGTTATTTTTTATTTTATAATTTAAGATAAAAAATAATTAAAGTATTGATAAATGAAAATTATTTTTAATTAGGAGCTAATTAAAATTTTTAATTTTTCGTTCTAAATAAAAAATTCAGAATTCAAACAGTATAATATAAGAACGAAAGTGGGATAAAGGATAAAAAGTAATTGATTTTCATGATTTATGCCCAATAAGATAAAAAAAAAAAATTTCCGATTTTCCCATCCTGTAATCATTAATCACCAAGCAGCAACTTTTGTACTTATTATAAAATTTGGCAAGAGCAGTGCTAGGAACACTCACCATTTGCACTCTCCAACCAACACTTCCATTTTCATTGGGCCACGTTACGTTGGTTAGAGAGGTAATCATTTCATAGCGGAAGCAAGCTTACGTGGCCCAATAAAAAAGCATGTGTTGTCTGGAGAGTGCAGGAGGCGAGTGCCACTAGCACTGCTCATTTGGCAAAAGACTCTTTAAGTCTTTGCACTTGGTTTCGATCGGTTTCGCCATTGTCTTCACTGTATAAAAGTCTTTCTTCTCTCTCTGGATCAATTTTATAAGAAGGCTGCGAATAGAAAACACCCTTCTAAATCGTCAAAAGATCATCGGATTTCCTGAAGTAATATTGAATCCCAAAATGCTGACTCTCACCATCTTCTTCATCTCACTCCTCCATCTCGTCCTCCCCACCACCTCCACCTTCGCCTACAATGCCACTGACATCATCCTCCTCGACTGCGGCTCACCGTCCAACACTACGTCAGTGGATTGCCGACACTGGGATGCCGATAATCGATCTATATATTCCTCCAACGACCCAAGCTCATCATTTTCCTTTTATACCTCCCCTCAAGACCCTTCAGTTCCCACAGTTCCATACCTCTCTGCACTCATCATTAAATCTAAATTCACCTACAGCTTCAATGTCTCCCCTGGCCCAAAGTTCCTTCGTCTCTACTTCTACCCAGAAATATATGACAATTTTGACAGGACCGCTTCCTTTGACATGACCACTTCCTTTTTCTCCGTTACTGCCAATAACTACACCCTCTTGAAAAATTTCAGTGCGCATATGCACCTGATGACCAACGAGGACTTCTTGATCGAAGAATTCATTGTTCCTGTGTGGGACAATGAGATTCTTAATGTTACTTTCATCCCTTCTCCGAACTCTTATGCTTTCATTAACGGCATCGAAATCGTTTCCATGCCAAGCGGCCTCTACTTAAGTGGTAGGGAAATCCCACAAGTGCTTCCAGTCGTTGGCCAATTCTTCTTTTTGGATAATACCAGCACCTCACTTGAGACTCTTTATCGGCTAAATGTTGGTGGAAACCGCATTGAGAGCGTGGAAGACACAGGAATGTACCGAACCTGGAGTCAAGATGGAGATTATCTTGTCGGATCAAACTGGACTTCTCCAATTTTGAACAAATCCCAGCCGATTCAATTTACAGCGAGCACACCGGC